AAAAAAACATTTTCTTGGATGTTGATATTGTGGTAAAAAAAACAAGTCAAAATGTGGCTTAGTGTGGTCTGTACTCTTATCAACAATGAGTACGTATCATTACTCTTTTCCCAAACATTTTTTCTTTTTGTCCACTGTAATGACGCGTACTCGTTGTCAATAGGAGTACAGCCCACGCTAAACCACATTCGATTTGTTAATTTTACAATAACTGTCTAATTTCTCGCGTGCTGATTGGCTCATTTTTATCATCAATAAAAGTACAGACGGATAAAATTTTAATTTATGCAAGCTTTTAATCTTTACCCAAACATTTTTTTCTTTTTGTTCACTGTAATGACGCGTACTCATTGTCAATAGGAGTACAGCCCACGCTAAACCACATTCGATTTGTTAATTTTACAATAACTGTCTAATTTCTCGCACGCTGATTGGCTCATTTTTATCATCATTAAAAGTACAGACTGATAAAATTTTAATTTATGCAAGCTTTTAAGTTCAACTTTCAGCTGTCAAACTGTCAACTTTTTGACCAATGAGATTTTATAGACTATTTTAGGTAGCCAATCAAAAAGCGAGAAAAGTTATTGTGTAGTTCCAGGAAATATCCATACCCCCCACGGAAGAGATTTTTCCTATGATCCCCCTCCCCTCTGGATTTTCCAAAATCGGCTCACAAAATGCCCCCCCCCCTCCCCTCCGGAAATTCGATTGTTGTTGTACACCCCCTGGAAATATTACCATTCCTTGTGGAAACCAAAATAAGCTTTTTTTTAGTGCAAGATGTCGAATTTTGACCCTTACTGTTTTTTCCCGAGGAAAATCTGGTGGATACTGTGACCAACACATAACCAGAAGGTACATCGCCTACCTCAAGGATGCATATCACAGAATTTGCAATATGAAAATTATAGATTTAATACCGTCAATTCCGCCTCACAATTTTGACAAAACAGCAGTTACTAAAAAAGTTCATTTCCAAGACCGTTGAGAGAGAAATGGTGAAAAAGAAATGCTTCACACCACACCAGTTAAGCACAGCAATCAAAACAACATAATTTTCAGTGCATGTTTTGTATCAAATTTCGGTAGATCAAATCGTTGCAAGTATATATCTGAAAAATTTAATTTTATTTGGAAGCTGGAAAAGCAGAACTTTGTGGGCCTTCAACAAATATCTTAGTATTTTTAACTTCTCCAATGTGTTAAGTTTTCTTAGCCGTTCTTTTGTAGTGTCCCTCACAGCTGCGCTGTTATTTGGGTTGTCACTTTGTAGTGCCAGATACATGTATTTTTCTTACACAACCCTTTGCTCTTGATCTTGCTCTACGAGTAGCGTGAGCGACGAGAAAAATAATTCTTCAATTTGCCAGGGAAGTGCACCACAGTATGGTCACAGTGAACATTCATAACTCTGGCAGCAAATTCCAGCAAATGTTTGCCACAGGTTTTTATCATGTAAGTACCGAAGAACACGCTTCACGGTGTAAACACAATATTTATATTAAATTATTAGCGACAGTGCAAATTGAGACCTCAAGATAAAAACTGCTTTGGTCTGCATAATATATTCAAATATAAGTCCTGCATTGGGATTAAAAGAATTCATATCATATTAGTGATATATTTTTGGTTTAGTAATAAATAGTACATGACATTCAGAGCAGAGCTACTTCGTTTGCTACACATCCAAGGTGTCATGCATGAGTGATCACAACAACAGACCACGCCAAAAATACCTTCCAACTTTAATTAAGGCCATTCATTCGGCCCTTGAGAGGAGCATGAGTTTTCGGGCATAATTTACAAGCCTTTTCTCCGTTTTTATCCGCTAACAGCTTCACTTGACAAGCAAACAACCGCTTAAAACAGGTGTCCAAGGAATTTCTTTTCCTTTGTCTTCGGTTTTTACACAGAAATATCGAAGCCGCAAGTCGTTTATTTATCTAATCTCTGCTGATTTATATCACATGCGGCTCGCTTAAAAATATATTTCCCTCCCGAACTATAATTGTTGCTGTACTGTTTTCCTCGTTCAAGAATCATTGTTAACAAGATAAGAGGTCTGTTATCTACCGATTCCGAATTTTGGCTAATTCAATGTTGATGTTGATGCACACGTTAAGTTCAAACCCTATTTTTCACGCTTGCGGCAATACAGGTAGGAGTGACAGAAGTACCTGGTCAAGTGCGACAGACATATTTTCAATCAGTCACAATCAACTCGTCTACTTTCCACAACATGCGCTTCGATCAACAGCCACTACTCGGGAAAATGATCGGGGGCGACAGAATATCGAACCTAACCAGCACAAAAATATTCATTTTGTGCTTTAAATTGGCCAGATTTATTTTTTTGCATTCACGACTCGAGAACCAAAATGCAAACAACGAAACTTTACGTACAACTGTATGAAAATTGCAACAAGCCTGGAAAAAAAAATTCATTGAGACAACCCCCCTCCCCTCCTTCNCCCCAGAATTTCCAATCCCTTCCGTGGGGGGTATGGATATTTTCTGGAACTACACACTGAGAATGCTTATGGCAAGTCAACAGCCTTTTTTTCTCCTCATTTATTTCCGGCATTTGACCATTTTGGGGTCTCGCTATTGTAAAAAACAAATTGACGTCAGTTTTTTATGCATCTGTCCTCTTATTGATGATAAATTTTGTCATAACATTGTCAAAGTTTACTGCGGAACCACTCGCCTATGGCTCGTGATTCCTCAGCCACTTTGACAATGTTATGACGTAATTTATCATCAGTAAGAAGACAGACGCATAAAAAAGTGATGTCAATTTGTTAAATGTACAGCTGATAATTAACAGTGTTAACAGTCATATTAAACCTTACACCAGTTCAGTACAGTGGTTTTCAGTACAGTGTATAGCAGTGATTTTGTTACAATTTGCTAATAGTGAGTCCTGGGACTCATCTCATGAAAAATCATGAGTCCCAGTCCAGAATCAATGAGTCCCAGTTGAAAACCCAATGAGTCCTTACTATATTTACTATGTTTTTTCTCCTCATTATATTTCAACCAACCATAGGTTTTTAGCTAGTGTGGCATGAATTTCCTTTTCTTCTTTTCTTTGGTGTTGTTGTTAGATGCAACAACCACATCTGAAGGACAAACACTGCCAGGTCTGCCAGCAACACTTTCACTCTCAGGACCACTTGTGTTTGAAGCCATATCTGGCAGCTGCCCTCCAAAACATAATTTTTTTTGGTACAGTATAGGTTGTAAGACCTTTTTTGGGTGGCATTTCTAATTTCTTTTTAACATAAACTAAATCTTTAAAGAATCAAATGGAAGAATTATGAAAGTTCCGAACCTTTGTCCACCATCTTTGTTCAGCCACGTGCTTTCCATATATGGCAAACATAATGAGTAACCACTCCATCAGTAAAGTAAACATGGCCACTTTTGAAAAAGAAACAGTCGTATCGGAGAATTTGTGTGGAAATATTTCTGTCTATTTGTTCAAAAAGTTATTCTTAACCTATTTTTTTGAGCGGACAATATTACTCTTTTGATTGGAGGTAGCTTTCAGTACATATTTCAAATCGTGCAAACAGGGCATTCAAAAAGATTTTTTGATCAATGGATCGATCATTGCATCTCAAAGGACGCAGGCTGTGAATTATTATGCGTCGTTGAGAATTTTTATGCATCAGGAACGCAGGACGCAGGGGTAACAAAATAGCTGGTTTAGACATTATTTACAAGGGTGTCTTCATGTTTAATTTCGATCAAACAGTTCAGGTTGTAGACCTGCCAGAACCTTGTCACATGTGATAAAAATTCAGTATCTAAATATCATGTCCTGCAAAGTTATGAAATATGAATCAGCCCATGGTTCAGGACAGTCACATCAGTATCCAACATAAAACTAAGAACTTAAAAGAAACTACAAAATTTAAATTGCACATGTTTTCTTTAGATGTTTTATTCAGAATCTGATGTGAAGCAAGTTGATGTTTCCACGACAGCAGGGAGCTTTGGTATTCTACCTAATCATGTTCCCACTTTAGCAACACTTCGACCAGGGCTTCTAACTGTGCACGATGAAGCTGGTGCTCATAAATATTTTGGTGAGTATTTCTGATAAGAGAATTTATTTTTGGTGAAATTTCACCGTGGGGCTGACAACTCATTAAGTGGAGCTAGGGTGGCCTAATGGTTACTGCAGTGGATTCATTGGAGTTACAACTCTGATAAACCTTGTTTAAGGAGCACCTTTTTTTTCTCAGACTAAAACGTAATTTCTTAAATTGTCTCAGTCATTCAGTCTTTCTGTCACTCTGTCACTCAGCATTCGAGTCTTTCAGGCCTTCAGTTTTTTGTCTTTCAGTCATTTTGTCACTCAGTCAGTCAGTGTTCCAGTCTTTCAGGCCCTCAGTCTTACAGTTTTTTGTCCTTCAGTCCTTCACTCTTTCACTCTTTCACTCTTTCGCTCTTTCACTCTTTCGCTCTTTCGCTCTTTCACTCTTTTGCTCTTTCACTCTTTCACTCATTTGCTCATTAACTCATTCACTGATTCATCTTTCCATCTTTTTGTCTTTCTATCTTCCATCTTTCGGTCATTCAGAACTTCAGTCCTTCCTTCCTTTGTTCATTCATTCACTCATTCATTCATACTTACATGCAGTTGTGGTCCTGGCCACACATAAACACTAAATTCTAGTCTCTAATCATCTGGCACATCTTGGTATCAGGAGACTCCAGTTATGTGTGGTTTGAGGTAAAGATTTTGTAGGAGTTATTTAAATGTTCCCTTTTACAGGGAAAGTTCTTGGAAGTCCTTGAATTTGAAATTAAAAATTTAAGACCTTGAAAGTCTCTGAAAAGTTCATTGGGTCCTTAAAAACCCCCTGAAGTTTGTTGTTGACTTGTTGCCTAAAAGCGGCAAAAAAACAAAGATGTCCGCATACAGTTCATGCTTGTAGTTCCCAGAATGTCCTTGGAAAGTCCCCAATATTACTGTAGTTCCAAAGGGAGTTGAACCCTAATTACAAACATTCTCTCTCCACAGCAAGCAGTGGTACAGTGACTATCAATGCTGACTCTACAGTTCAAATTCTGGCTGAGGAAGCTCATCCTTTGGATAGATTTGACCCTCAAGTATGTCACCACCTTACTGTTTTTAGAGACTGTAGTTTAATTTATATTTAGACCCAATTGGATCAATATTTCAGATATTTTAGGCTTTCCTGGACAGGTTATAGTGAGCAGGGACTTTAAGAGGGGGAAGAGGATCTTCATGTGGGACAAGGTGGCTATTTGGAGCCAGGGAAGGGACTTAATTGAATTTTTTTGCATGTACAATAAAAAGAAAGAAAAGAAAAATAGTATCAGCAACTGGAGCAGAAAACAGGACAATGTCCCAATTGATATTCAACCAATAATTATCATATAATGTTATTTACAATCAAGTTAATTTAAAATGACTTCATGTGGGACTTCAATGTTAAAAGGACGGCAGTGCTTGTCGTGCCTTTTAGGGGTTAAACAAGTGGTGTTGGTACCTCTTACTTGGTAACTTTTGGAGTATTGAGCCGAATAAAGTCAGTGTCAGTTAATGTGTTGTTTTAGAATTGATACCTCTTAGGGGTGAAAAAAGTTCCAAGTCACACCCACAAAATAGTATCTTGGTAACTCTTAGGGGTTCTTTTCAGAATTTCAGACAAGCACCCTCGTCCTTTCTATAAGGAAGTCCCTCCCCACCCCCGCGATTTAGAGAGGTTCATTAATTATTGTAGAGGGGTCTGCCAAAGGAAGATTACCCAAACAAATGTGTATCTTAAGTAATCAGTGGAGAAGATGGTACTCCCTTCATGTTCCCACAATAGGTACAGAAGTCTGCACACGAGCCAAGTGGCCCACCAGGCCAGAGCTTATCCCAGTTTCCTTAGCATGAAGCGATTAGGAGTATTTCTTCTCCCCCCTGGATGGGATGCTAGTCCATCACAGGGTTACCCTGAGCATTAAATTTGCTGTACCCATTTATACACCTGGGTGGAGAGAGGCACGGTGAGAGTAAAGTGTCATGCCCAAGAACACAACACAATGTCCCTGACCAGGGCTCGAACCTGGACCGCTCGATCCGGAGACGAGCGCACTAACCATGAGGCCACTGCGCCTCCACACAATAGGTACAAGGCATCCCTTATCTGTACCATTGGACTGAATAATTCATCAGCTATTTTGAAAGAGCCTTTTAGGTGCGTAAATGGTAGTTGTCTCTACACTTTTCTATACTTCAGTTTACCCTATGATGTAACTCTATCCTACGAAAGGTATCTCTTTTGGGCAGAGTCTCCCTGCGCATGGAGCACCCAGGGTCCTAAGGGCACCAGCTTATAAGAGGATTGACTGTTGCGCTTGTTTAGTTATACCTTGGTGTTAAGTCTTAACTAATACAGTATTGTTATAGAGTAGTTAAGTCTTGTCTTTTCTTTTATAACAGGCTGTTAGTCAACAGTTAGAGCAAGCTCAACAAGGTTTATCAAGTGCGTCTGGTGAGGAAGATAAAGCCAAGGCACAGATTGCTGTTGAGTGTTTAGATGCACTCAACAAAGCTCTAGGACACTGACAATAACTTACCTTCTCTCTTTTAACCTGAGTGGATTAGAGAAAGGATTTGTAATGTTCTTACCCCAGTGGAATTCAAGTAATTTGTGACCTCCAAAGTTAATTGAACTATCAAGCTTTGGTACTTGTGGTTTGTAATGATCAAACAAGTTTTGTTGATTTGTATCAGCTGCTCTTCGTGACATTTGCATATTTTGAGAAAGTGTTTACCAACTTACTCAGGTCTTTCATTTGCAATGGCTTTTTCTCTAGTGTCATTAAATCTTGTCATCATTCAGACCACAGCAGTGGCTACAATTTGAACTGATTTTCATGGTGTCATTTTGTCTTGAATAAACTTTATTTGGTGCTTATACTTACTGCAATTGTTTTCTTGTTTGTGTTGACCCTTTACTTTTAAAGTGATCAATGTCTAATTTTTATGTGAGGAGACTAAGGACATTAACCACATGAAGGTCTCAATGTACCATTGAATTCTCAGAACTGGCATTTAAATGAATGTGTGGAAATTAGTATTAAGAATTAAGATTTTGATCATAGGCCTAACTAAAAGACACTAGTGGAATGTTTATGGTGGGGCTTAGTACATCAGTCCAGGAGGAGGTTCCAGGGTGATAGACTCCTGCACTATGTAAAAAATGCACAAGCATTTTTTTAAATTAAATATACGCACACTCACGAAAAGAAAACATGAACACTGTCTCAGACTTTCAGGGACTAATAACCGTGGATATTTATTTTTTTTCCCTCAGTATAAGGTCAAGGTGGAGTCACTCAACTCCCCAGCTTCTGTAGCATGGAATAAGTTAGAGTATTGGTACACCCTCTGGATGGGATTGAAGTTCATTGTAGAGTTACTTCCTCCCCCCAGCATTGAATTCATTGGCACTCTTTTATATACCTGAGTGGAGAGAGGTACTGTGAAACTGACCTCGGTCAGGGCTCGAACCCAGACCACTCAATTTGGCACCCAGTGCACTAATTATTAGGTCGCCTTGACCCCCACGAGGTTGTCTGTAACCTTTTTCACATGTGGATAGCATCCCTACAATCCCAGCCTGAGTAAGTGAGATAAAATTCACAGTTCAGATTGGTTAACTGGAAACATTCAAAAAATGCGACGTTAATTAGTGTCAATTGTAGTTTGACTTGTGACTTTTTCACATATTCTAAACAATGGCGAAACTTGCGATTTTTTTGTGCCGTAAATCCTCGAATTAGCG